CATCTTCCCAATTACCTTCTTATTCTTCGCAGAGTAAAGGAAGTGCTCCTTCGGGTAACCGCTGGTGTCGTACTCGTCTATGTCGGGGAGGCAGTCTTTATATACGTCTTCCGTCTGTACTTCGAGAATTAAGGAATCGGTGTCTGTATACAAAAGGTGGCAATTATCACCATATTTAGGTTTTAACTTGTCGTAATAGAACTCATACATGAGAAGCTTCGAGAGATCTAACACCGCAAACCCCGTGTATACAGGTTTATTCAAGAATAGGTTTGCTTTTTTCATGTGGATCACGTAGAAGTTCAGCATCTCCACGTATCTGACGAATCCAGGTTGCGATACGTATGCTTCTGCTTCCTCTCTGGTGCTAGCTATTTTTATGCTTACGCGTTTACGGATGTTTTCCATGGTCTTACCAAAGACGCTGTTATTCATCAGCTTGAATAAGTTCTTTTCGAAGTCATTCTTAGCTGCGGTACGTTTTTGCGTATTAAAGTCTATGTATGGTTGCATCCATGGCTCTTGCGTGAACTTCAATACGCGGTGGATCTTTTTCACTCGTAAACCTTGGCACACGTAAAACTGTAGGTTGCGGTAGTGTACCACGTATTTTTCCTTATCCATCAGGTTCATCGTTAGCTTCCTGTATGGCTTGTATCCAGGACACATTTGCTTTTGCAGTGGACTTAGTTGCTCGAATGGAATTTCTATCGCTTCTGGAGCTAGTGGAAATTCATTGTGTGCGTCGTGTAAGTCCTCTGGGTATTCCAGATCCACTTCTAACACGTAACCTTTCTCCTCATCCTTTCCAACCTGCATGTAGAAGTCTATCGGCTTCACTGGATCCCATTCGAAGTCTCTCACGGGTAGGTATTGCGACATTGCCCAGCCATAAAGGTTATTCGCGTCCAGGTAATAGATGTATGTGGTTGGTTTCTCTGGGTCGTGTTCTACTAGGGGGTTGTTTGCGCGGGCGTAACGTCGGCTGGGTCCGCATACACCACCGCGGATACCATCTTCCATAAACCGATACATGTCGTACTCCGTCAGGAGATCTAACTGCGCGTTCGTCTTCTTCAGAAGTGCACTCCAGCTAAGACCAGGAGCAGTGTAGAAGTTAGCGGGATCCAACCCATAATATTCCATCGACATTTTCCTGAAGCTTTGGAATACATCAGCTAGCAGTACCACGTCTGAACGTAGGTAGATGTCGTGGTAGTCCCCCATGTTACTACAGGAGTACTTCTTCCATACGTTTAAGGCATGCTGGTATTCTTCGTCTTTTATACCAGACTCATTTAGGGTGCTGTAGAAGCGGTCTTTTGGTGGTAAAGGCTCCTCGAATCTCTCCCAGGAGTCCATGTATTCATATGGGTAGACTCCTTTCCTTTCTGCACCGTATTGACTCGATATTGGGAAGTCGGCGTTGTACCTTACGAGGTTCGCTAAGGAATCTGCCATAAATTGCTGCGAATCCAGAAACTTAAGTTTACCTACAGTCACAGACATGTATCGCTCTTTGTTGTTGGGTATGCATTTAACGTCAGATCCGTCTGTTCCTTGCAGCAGCAAATGGGAATCGTAACCTCGAAGGTTGTGAAAGAACACTGGTATTTCCATTTCCGGGTCTACTTTAAAGTTCATACTGCATTTCCAGTGGGTGGCACCTCTGTACTTACCGGTAATGTAACAGTGGTCTTTAACCTTATCCACATAGAAATCCTCAACGAATTCTTTATGACAGTGGATGCAGTGCGTGGAGGGCTTTCCAGGTTTCTCACCTTTCTTAGCATACCTCCCACATTTGTAGTGAGCTTCACCTAAATACTTCCCTTCTTCATCCCATGCTTTCTTCGCTTGTCTTCCAAACTGAAGAAGTGTATGTTGGCAGATGTAACAACTCTTCGCCTTTTTAAATGCATTCTGATTCTCGCTGGTAAACTCCTTACTATTAGGACGCCTTAATTCCTTTCTTATCTTTTCCTCTTCTTCTCGCAGTGCTACTAGGAACTCATTAGACGCATTCTTACCTCTGTAAATCACAGGTGGGTTGGCTTTGCCGTCTGATCTGACAACTATGTATCCAAAGGAGCAGATCTCATGTAATCCAACCTTATTAGTAGCGCCACTT